GAAATAAAAACTAACTTATTTCTTCATGCTAAGTATTGTATTTTTTTTAATTTTGATATTTATCCTGTGGTCACAATTCATTAAAATGTTATTCTTAGATAAGCTGAAAGTTATAATTTTCCTATACTGAAAATGTATTTCTGATAGGTACTTCCTTCTATATGCAAACTTTTTTATTACACATGCCACAAGCCTTCTAACTCCGTTTTGGAATCAAATAATTTCAACGTGTCTCTCATGCAAATCATCATGTGTCATTTCTCCACCAATAGGAGAATAGTACACTCATGTAACTCCCTCTATGTGCCTCTACCATACTATCACTTTGGCAGATGATGGATGCACCAGAAGTGAGTGGGGAGGAAGGGTGGGAAGTGTGAGCGGAGGGTAGTACTTATCAGAAATACATTTTCAGTACAGGAAAATTATAACTTCCAATACGGTACTTCCCTCCGCTCACAAGATTAGCTAGAGTCCCACAATGATTAGGAGGAGAGACTTGTGCAAGGGAAGAACAGATGTACCTCCTGAAAGCGTCCAAAGGATACCTCTGTAGATGAGAGAGTCAAATCCAAAGAAAGGAACCACACCACTTCTGATCCAGGTATACTCTTCACCCATATGTGGAATTGTAAGAAATCAAGGAAGAAAATGAAAGGAGCACATCCGAGTGGGAGAGAATGCGGTAGGAAAGTGATCCTAGCTGGAGAAAAATATAGCAACTCAATGCCATAATAAGAAAAGTGGGTAAATGAGAATGCATCCTATGGTGTAGAGTGGCTAGAGCAAGGCAGACAGTACTCGGTAAGTCAACTACATCCAAAACCTCCTTGTGGATTACTGACATCCAAGCAGGGGCAGGATGAGGATCACACCATCTTCACTTCAAACCCAAGAACTGGGGAATTGTGAACCTCTCTGATTCCTGAGTATTACACAGGATTAGCTCTGAGCTATAAATCAGGAAATTTGACATCTGGTATCAAAAGGAAGTCTATCGCATGCAATAAACTCCTGTAACTGTAAGACAGGTTGGGACCATCCAAAGGGCAACATCATCCATGTAATAAGAGAGAATGAGGGTGAGCCAAGGAAAGAACCGGAACAATCCCATGTATTCGTGCTGTGACTCACAACACAAAAGAAGGAAATCGAGGGAGGAAGATGGACAACCCTAAATCTGTGTGAGGACTTATGTTGATTGGTTCACTTAAAATCCAAAACCAGCCCACAAGGTACTGACATCCATGTGAGGGTAGGATGAGGGCTCCCAATCAAAGGGGTGAAAACTGCATTTTGATGTCTTATTCTATTGTATAGTTAATCGCAAATTGGAGGATATTATGTCATCTACACCAGCAGAACACTAGCACTCGACTCTGAACTGAATGGTTATAGCCATCTATGTGCAACCCATGCACCCCAGCCCTGAAGGGATGCGTCTGTAAACAGAAGTGAATCCAGATGATGATGAGGAAATGTGACACCCGCCGATGTGCGAGTCTTGTCCAACCATCAAAGGGGAGGAGAAAGTGTTATGAAAACATCCAAGGGATCCTGAGCAAGGTTCTATTGATCATGCAGAGACCACTGAAGGGAGCACATGTGCACGGCTAAGGGGAATTAGCAGTGTCATAGAAGACCACATCCCCAAAAGTGACAGAAAGTGAGGGAGCAGACAAGGAATGGCAAACTGACAATTCCATAGAATGGAGTCAGAGAGGAGAATGCTGGGGCCGAATGAGGTGAGTGTTGAAAAAGACACCCAAATGCACAAGGTATTGGGTAGAATGCAGGAAGAACTTCTCCAAGTTGATCAACCAGCCTACCCGTGCAGCTTCAAGTAGGAGCTGATGAGTATGACTGACTAACTCCTGTTCAGAATGGGTCAAAAGTAGCCAGTCATCCATATATAAATGGAAATGAAGCCAAAGGGCATAAAGATGAAGAGCAAAAGCCCTCACCACCTAACAGAAAATATAAGGAGCAGAAGCCAACCTGAAAGGTAGGGAGCAAAATTGGTACAACACTTCTTGATGTTGTTCCAAGAAGGGAATATGCAGATAAGCATTGGAGACGTCCATCTTGGTCATCTATAGACCCAGAGAAAATGCCTATTGAAGAGTGATGTAGGACTCCATGGCAAAACATGGGAGGTGAACAATTTAATTGAGGCAGGACAGATGGATTACAGGCCTCCAGTCCACAGTCTTTTTGGGAACAACAAACAGACATGAGTAAAACCCCAGTAAATGATTTGCAACAGGTTTGATAGCCTAGTGGGTAAGGAGGTCCTGTACTGCCTCTGATAGTTGTTAGCAAGTTATGGGATCCCAAAGATAAGGGAAGGAAACAAGTACCTGGAACAAGGGAGGTGGGGCAAGAAATGGAATTTTGAGGCCCTCTGAAAAAAACCTGAAGAAACCAAACATTGGTGATGAAAGGATGCCACCAATGAACGAAAGCTGCAAGCTGAGGTCCCAGCAAGTAGTCACCAGAACTATTGGCAGTGTATCGTGTGTCATTGAGAAAAACAACGAATTGTGGTGCTGTGAAAAGGAGAGACAGGTAAGAGTAGGGAAGGAGAAGGAGAATGCCTACCAGATGGGAAAAGGTAGATTGTTGCTGTACATAGGCCAAATGAGACTCTAAGGGCTCTGGGACTGTATCAAAGATGAAATGTGCTAAAAACAAAGCCATACACAAATCCCGGAGGTAAAAAGCAGGTAAACAGGTTGAGATAAAACATAATCATGAGCTAAAAGGTCACAACAACAGATAAACCATGTTTGGCAAGCCAGAGCTGAAGACGACAAGCAAGTAAACATGGAGGTAAGGAGGGAGAGGATGTACCCAGAAAATCCCTCAAGATTTCTGTGAAGAGCCTCAGATAGGAG